GAGTATATGTAGTGTGAGTACGTATAGTGTGAGTACGTGTGGTGTGAGTGCATGTGGTGTGAGTACGTGTAGTGTGAGTTCACGTGGTGTGAGTACATGTAGTGTGAGTATGTATAGTGTGAGTTCGTGTAGTGTGAGTACGTGCAGTGTGAGTACGTGCAGTGTGAGTACCTGTGGTGTGAGTACGTGTGGTGTGAGTACGTGTGGTGTGAGTACGTGTGGTGTGAGTACGTGCGGTGTGAGTACGTGTAGTATGAGTACGTGTAGTCTGAGTACGTGTGGTGTGAGTACGTGTGGTGCGAGTACGTGTGGTGTGAGTACGTGTAGTGTGAGTACGTGTGGTGTGAGTACACGTGGTGTGAGTACGTGCAGTGTGAGTACGTGTAGTGTGAGTACGTACGGTGTGAGTACGTGCGGTGTGAGTACGTGTAGTGTGAGTACGTGTGGTGTGAGTACGTGTAGTGTGAGTACGTGCGGTGTGAGTACGTGTAGTGTGAGTACGTGTAGTGTACGTGCAGTGTGAGTACGTGTGGTGTGAGTACGTGTAGTGTGAGTACGTGTAGTGTGAGTACGTGTGGTGTGAGTACGTGCAGTGTGAGTACGTGTAGTGTGAGTACGTGCAGTGTGAGTACGTGCGATGTGAGTACGTATGGTGTGAGTACGTGTAGTGTGTGTACGTGTAGTTTGAGTACGTGCAGTGTGAGTACGTGTGGTGTGTGTACGTGTAGTGTGAGTACGCGTGGTGTGAGTACGTGTGGTGTGAGTACGTGCGGTGTGTGTACGTGTAGTGTGAGTACGTGTAGTGTGAGTACGTGCAGTGTGTGTACGTGTAGTGTGAGTACGCGTGGTGTGAGTACGTGCGGTGTGAGTACGTGTAGTGTGAGTACGTGCAGTGTGTGTACACGTGGTGTGAGTACGCGTGGTGTGAGTACGTGTAGTGTGAGTTCGTGTAGTGTGAGTACGTGCGGTGTGAGTACACGTGGTGTGTGTACACGTGGTGTGAGTACGTGTATTGTGAGTACGTGTAGTGTGAGTACGTGCAGTGTGTGTACACGTGGTGTGAGTACGCGTGGTGTGAGTACGTGTAGTGAGTTCGTGTAGTGTGAGTACGTGCGGTGTGAGTACACGTGGTGTGTGTACACGTGGTGTGAGTGCGCGTGGTGTGAGTACGTGTGGTGTGAGTACATGCGGTGTGAGTGCGCGTGGTGTGAGTACACGTGATGTGAGTACGTGTAGTGTGAGTACATGCGGTGTGAGTACGTGCAGTGTGAGTAAGTGTAGTGTGAGTACACGTGGTGTGAGTACGTGCGGTGTGAGTACACGTGGTGTGAGTACGCGTGGTGTGAGTACGTGCGGTGTGAGTACACGTGGTGTGAGTACGCGTGGTGTGAGTACGTGTAGTGTGAGTACATGCGGTGTGAGTACGTGCAGTGTGAGTACGTGTAGTGTGAGTACATGTAGTGTGAATACGTGCGGTGTGAGTACACGTGGTGTGAGTACGCGTGGTGTGAGTATGTGCGATGCGCCGTGCAGAGAAAAACGCTCGCGTCGCGACGGGGCTTAGCACGGTGCTAATTAAAACTTTCATATTCGGACAGATATTTTGCGAGATCTCATCGTAGACATCGCTTCATCATCAACAGATATCTCATTATGAGTTCATCAGACGCATTCCAGCTCGAATCACTAATCAGCCATTACCGAATTGCACATATCTCATCATCACATACATCTCATCAGAGCTATCATCAAAGTCATCACTTCATCATCGACGCAATGTGACCGAGCTCCATCGCACAACCGCCCGGTCAAAGCCCTCGCGTCATTGAGTGAAATCGCGCGTCCTCGCCGTCTCGTCTGATCTCCGCTCACTCGTCCGTGTCTCGCGCGCTACGCTCCTGCTCTGCTGCGGGCGCGGTGTGGGGGCGCAGACCCGGGGGATCTGGGGGGTGGGAGCCACCCCCCCTCCCTTCCCCTCTCCTCCCCGTACCCCCGCTCCCCGTGCCCCCGCTAAACGCGCCGCTTTGATTCACAGATGTTTGATTCGTCCACCCGCAACCTTGGCCCCCCGCGCGTCGCACCGGGCCCGGTCGGATCTGCCTCCGTTCGGCCGCTCGCCGCGTGATTGACAGCAGCGCCGCGCGCGCGCGCCGAGTTCCCATGGAGACTAATTAATAGGATGATTAGGCGATGTTGGAGGTGGGGCTGGTTGGCGTCGGGGAAGTGTCCGGGGTGAGGGGGTGGGGGGCCTCGAGTTAGGGGTAGGTTTGCGGGAGGATTTAAGTCGGGCTCCCCCCCCCCCACCTCCTCCTCCTCCCCACCAACTCGCCACCCAAACCCAACCCGACTCCTTCACGAAATAATAAAAATGGTTTGCCGTGCGCTTACGCCGCCTGTCAGGTGGCCCCTTCAGCTCGGCGCGACGTCAGATTGCCGCAGCCTGGCGGCGGGTCCCGTGGCGGCCCCCTCGTGGGGGTGGCCGCGAGGCGCGAGGCGCTCGCACGAGCTGGCCCCCTGCGCGCAGCTTCGGCGTGACAGTCCATCGCCAAGTTCCTCTGCAATGTTTAGCGGATCCAGCAATGCGCGTACAAACATACAAACAAAGACACATACCCCCCCCCCCCCCTTTAGCCTCATCAGACTGTTGGGGCAAGTGCTGTTAGCGAGCACCTATGGAAGGCCGGAACGGCACGCAGTTTTCAGTTTCATTTATTTGGTATAGCTCTGTGAGCCATTCGGCTCTTGAATCGGATGCAACCGCAACAAACAAAAAACAAAAACATGAACAAGAAAACATCTTAAAGTGACTATGTGACTATGCGCAAACAGAAAAATCCAGGAAAAAACTGCAAAGGGAGTTGGTGGCCAGCACCTCGCCCGGCCGCCTTTGTCTCCCAAATGGCGACGTTTACACACCGCACCAGGTCCTCATTTGAGGCTGAGTCGACCTAGGGGAGGCCCAGGACTGGTTCAGATCATCGTCACTGGTGCTGGCTGTGAGCGGGAATCGAACTCGGGTCGCCGGGTTCATAGCGCAGCGCGTGAAGCGTCGTCCCGGAGCGATTAGAAACGAATCACACAAATCTCACCTCTTCCGCGGCTCAATGCGAGCACTTGGAGAAGAAGAATCATCATCACTTCGATTCGCAATGCACCACACAGTTGTCGCTGGCTCTCTGAGAGAGCGAACGACTCAGAGGCATCCACGCGATGAGCCGGCTCCAACAATTACCGAAGCTCTGTGCTCCTCTATATATCTAGGTGTTCTTCGGCCACTGAATGAGTGCTAACACGTGGGAGGAAAACCCGAGCACCTGGGGACAAGCCACGCATGCGAGGGGGAAATACTCTATCCCCATACAGGCGGAAGAGGTGGAGCCCGCATCTTCGCTGAATCGCCGTCTGGCGAGGGACGGCTTCGGGCTCTCTCGCTGCCTCCGCAGTGCTGGGTTCCAGGCCACGTGGCTACGTGCCCGGGGGGGGGGGAAGATGCGGGAGGGGGAGGGAGCGGGGGAAATCGGGCAGGGAGTAGGGAAGCAGAAATGAGAGCGAAGTTTGGTTTGGTTAAAAACTTTCTGTGCGGTGTGATTCAATGCTGAGATTGTGTTTATTGCGAGTTCTCGCACGTCGATGGGAGGAGGGCTCACGTTACGTGCGTCCCGAGCATAAATATGCACGCATGTAATGTATTCTCCTGGTTATGTGTTGTTACGCTGCGCGAGACCTCATTACCATATAATTAGTAACGCTCATGACGGTCTGTTCCACGGTGACGGAATTTATGGCGATGGCACGCAGCGCCTGATCATCGTAGCGCACGGCGTGAGCGTCACTTGCGGGGGTTTGGTGGCTTACCGATGAATGTCCTTGCACACGTGGGCAGGGAGGAGCGGCTACGCTAATCGCAGCCCCCAATCCCATCACCGCCCTCTCCACTCCCTGCGTCGCCTCTTGCGATCCCCTTACCGCCGGAGTCGCCCTTGGCACGCGCTAAACGCATTACCTGGCGACGATGCTGCTGCTGCTGCTGCTGCTCGCGTTGGCAGTGGTGAACATACTCAACTCCTTCGTCGAGAAATGCTGTGGCCATGAAATAAATAAGTAACGTTTTACATATATGTATAAATACATGATACGGCGGTTCGTCATAGAGGTTGTTAGGTGAGATCGCGTAACTATGAATGTGCCGTTAGACCCGCCACGATCCGACACAGCCTGTTAGTAAGGTTTGTCACGTGAACAAAACGTGCCAAATCGTCACTAGTACAGCACTAACCGGTGTGTTGGACGGTGGCGGGTTTATCGACACATATATTAACGCGATCTAACCCAGCACCCTCTATTATAGATAACGAGCCTTTTGCCCGTTCAAGGACGACGGGTGTATTGCAGTAAATCTGAAACTTGCAAGCGAAAAGCAGACCGCGACGTGATATCCATTGCATCAATTCGTGTGCAATTTGTAAGGGCGCGGTGACACAGACCTATTTTATTTAAAGGCTATAATCCCTTGTTCATCACGGCGTCCTTTTTACTTCTATGTCTCAACAGCGCTACGAAAATCGCGTGACGTGAGGGTTCTGCCTTTGTAGTGAGGGTTGTGAGTTGACGCTGAGGAGGGGGGAGGAGGCGCCTCGCCCCCCCATGTGGAGTGACGTCACCCGCTAATTATTATTAATTTGGGGGGGGTCCATTTTGAAGACGTCACCTCTTCATGATTATTAATGAGGGGGGCTGGCCGACGTGGAGTGACGTCACGCGCGGGACACACAGACATTCTTGGCTCATAATAGTCGTCAATCTATATATATAAAATCGTTCATGTCTGTGTGTCTGTGTGTGTGTGTGTGGACTGCACTTTCATTGGACGGCGGTTGCCCCTGGCAACGGCTAGCCACGCCTTCGCCGCTTTCATTGGACGGCGGTTGCCCCTGGCAACGAGTAGCAACTTTTCTCCGCGGGGTGGACGCCATTTTTAATAGCGCGGGGGGGGGGGGGGGGGACCGGCACCCGTACCCAGCGTTCGCCGGGTGGGAAAATCAGGCAAGGCGGGAGGCTCTGCACGGTGCTAGGCCTCGACACCCAACACGCCACTCTGAGGTAAATTCATACAAATTTCACGTCCTCTACAGAGTGGCGAGGGAGGCAGAGTGGCGAGGGAGGCAGAGTGGCGAGGGAGGGACTCAGCCTCAAAACGAGTAACTCGTGTGGCGTATTAACATCGCCACTGGGGAGACAAAGGCGGCCGGGCGTGGTGGATACAAGTCCCGGGCAAAGCCGGGTCATGACTATGTGTGTATGTGTTTATGTGTATGTCTCTGTGTCTGTATGTATGTGTGTATGTATGTGTCTGTATGTATTTGTGTGTATGTATGTGTGTGTCTGTATGTATGTGTGTGTGTATTGTGTATGTGTTTGTGTGTATGTATGTGTGTGTTTGTATGTATGTGTATGTTTGTGTGTATGCATGTGTGGTGTATGTGTTTGTGTGTATGTGCGGTTATGTATGTGTGTGTATGTGTGTGTCTGCAGCAAGCGCGTGTATGTGTACCTATGGACGCGCGCGCGTGTGTTGTGTAGGGGGAACGGTAGTGTAGTGCTTAGCGTACTGCCTGTGTCTATGTGTGTGTGTGTGTGTGTCTGTGTGTGTGTGTCTGTGTGTGTGTGTCTGTGTGTGTGTGTCTGTGTGTGTGTGTCTGTGTGTCTGTGTGTGTGTGTCTGTGTGTGTGCGTGTGTGGTGTGTAGGAGGAACGGTAGTGTAGTGCTTAGCGTGCTGCCTCTGTGTGTCTGTGTGTGTGTGTGTCTGTGTGTGTGTGTCTGTGTGTGTGTCTGTGTGTGTGTCTGTGTGTGTGCGTGTGTGGTGTGTGGGGAGCGGTAGTGTAGTGGTTAGCGTGCTGTCTGTGTGTCTGTGTGTGTGTGTCTGTCTGTGTGTGTGTTCTGTGTGTGTGTCTGCGTGTGTGGTGTGTGGGGAGCGGTAGTGTAGTGGTTAGCGTGCTGTCTTTGTGTCTGTCTGTGTCTGTCTGTGTGTTTCTGCGTGTGTCTGTGTGTGTGTGCGTCTGTGTGTGTGAGGAGCGGTGGGTGTAGTGGTTAACGCTACGCTGCGCTACCAACCCGGCGAACCGAGTTAGATTCCCGCTCATGGCCACCACCGATCAAGATTATTTGAACCTCACATAGGTCGACTCAGCCTCAAACGAGTAACTGGTGTGGCGTATTAACATCGCCACTGGGGAGACTAAGGCGGCCGGCCGTGGTGGATACAAGTCCCGGGCGAAGCCGGGTAGTACAGCTAGTTATTGTAGTAAATATTGGTCGTTTAAGCCTTCTACGTGTTAAACTCATGTAACAGTTGACATTTGGTCAATGATCCTTCTTCACTGCTCACATCGTGAGTTAGTTTGACTCCGTATTCCAATCCTTATTAGCCTCACTCTGACTTCATACTCTGTTTATTTGTATATACTTGCAATTTGATGGCCTTAACAACAAGCACAAATTCACGTAAAACAAATATCGTGGCCAACTGATATACAACGGACATGATGTGATCTCCGCACACGTAACTGTACGCCGATGTGAATCAGTAAGTGTAAGGTTCCAAATATTAAGTGGAAAATTAATTCCAGCGGTCACGCGAGCTTAAATTAACAACAACAACACAACTCATTCGTCAATAACACTGTGGAGGCCTTAAAAGGAAATTTAAATAAATGCGACGTTTCAGGCGACGGCTCTTCTCCACAGCCATTTTTCCCCGAGACGTCGCCTCGAATATTTTTGACATCTAAGGCAGCGTTATTGGCGAATATATCGGGGATTGGTTTCTGTTATTAATTCATTATTCTTGTGCACCACTGCCAACGCAGGTGAGACCAGCATCATCAGGTGATGAGCCGAGGTGAGGCGCGACGTCTCGCGGTGGGGGGTGGCGCCGTCTGTAGCCACGCGAATCTGTTGCCGGATGATGCTGAACGGCAGCGCCGTGGCAGGCACAACATTCGAGGGAGGTGCTGCTGCTGGTGGTGGTGGTGGAGTAGAGGCAGTTGGGACCCTTCATTTGTGTCGGCTGGAGAAATCCGATGAGCTATGAAGCTCTTTTTCACATATGTCCAGTCGGGCGAGTTAAAAATGTACAACAACAAAAACGATTGGAGTGCAAAGAATAGAAAAGGGAAGAAAGACGCTCAAAATAAATACATTTAAATTAAACTATATTTTACCAGGTAAGGCCCAATGAGCTATTAGTTATCTTTGAGAAGCGACCTGGCCACAAGTGATAGCTTAACAAAGTGGCTCAGCGGCTGTGTAAGAGTCACGAGATCAGAGCCCTTCCACTTGAACCACCGACTCGCGTCTCCAGGAGACGGGGCTCAGCACACGCCACGTGTTTGCCCAAGGAAAAGGAGGATTGACCAGGGTGTTATTTGCTGTGACGTTCGCTCGTAATTATTCAATGAATAACAGGCAATTAAATACAACAGGCGCTACGTTTTGCTGCCAGCGGAATGCAAGCCCGTCCCTTATTTAGGCTGATTTATAATGGAAAGCAAACGGTAATGTGAGATGTGCAACCCACCCACAGGCAGGGATTGAATCCTGCTTCGCTGCAGTTTCGTGGCCAGCGGCGTTCAGGTGGTTGCCGTCCGTGCGGTGGGCACCACGTGGCAGTACAGCAAGTAGGTTCACGAACCCATCCGTACGGACGTTTGAGTGTTTACCCGCTCCGTGCGCGTGGCGATTCTTCTCTGGCTTCTCCGACTTTCCGTTCAAGCGAAACAGCGATTGGGACAAACATCCCAATGCACGACTCTCTTGAAGAATAGTCGTGGGATCTCAGCGAGGCAGGCCTTTGTGTGTAAACAACCAACTTGATTCTCGTTGTCACAACGTGGAGGGACTCGTGTCAGGAGAGACTCGATCATGACCGGGCAAGGGCGGAGCTGCGATGGTCGGCCAATGGTGGCGGCGACGCACGTGGCTGCCTGTAGTCCAGCACTGTGAGGGCAGCTGCGAGGGTTGGTGTATCACCGCGTGAATGTTGTGAAACTCTCTTCCCGTGGGCGTCGAGGAGGTGCCGTAACCCTGGCTCGCCACAACAACGCGGTACAGCAATTTGACTAATCGACATCTGTTCCCATCTGTACGGGGATATAGTGTTTCCCCGTCGCGTCCGTGGGTTTTTTTCCGGGTGCTCCGATTTCCTCCCACTCGTATAATAAGCAATATATTTTTAAATCCTTTATATTAAGTTCACTTGCTTGCTTGCGCGCTTACGACCGTGCAAATCTTTCGGTCGTTTTTTAACCCACTTCCCGTGATCCAATCGAGCTGACATTTTACACACAGGCTCGTTGTGCGTGACAATTTATTTTCGTGAAAAGATTTTTCCAAAATGTTACACTTTTTAGGAAAAAAATCATATTTAATTGAAAATACCAATGTGATAAAAATGAAACTCTTACTCAAGAAAAACACAAATGAATAATAACATAAAACCGATGTTACGCATATAAAGGATTTATAGTGAAAAACTTTGTTTTTACGGGTTAATTTTTATCGACTGAAAATGTCTGAGAATAAAGACCCCAGAAAGGACTCGGGTGGCTCTCCTGGGGAGGAGGGGGGGGGGGAAGTGAATTAATATTGAATACAAGATGTTGATCTTTAGCTTCACTGTAAAGAGAGGAGCGCGGGGAGTCGGCGGTGCGGGCGAGCAGTGTGTGGAGAATCTCCAGACCTTAGGATCAGCAGCGGAGAAGTAGCGACCTCTCACTGAGAGCCTAGACGCGCGTTGATCTCGCGATTGTAATTTCTCTCAGCCTCAGCAGCCGCGCTGCAGGTCAGAGCTGATCTGTAGGACACAAACACCAACAAACAGCGACCATAAAAGACATCGACGAACCCGTCACGCGATTTTAAAAGCGATTTCGGATTCTCTGGGAGGCGCGCTGCTGACGGGAAGCTGTCACTCACGGCGATTGGCCGTGACGGCGGCGCGTCCCGTGAGCGCCCGGCGCGCTGCCTTAGATTCTTATTAGTGCCGGACTAATAGCGTCCCGGGGGTGTGGGGGGGGTGGAGGCAGGGATGGGGGGTGGAGAGAGAGTGTTGATTGGCGTGCTCTTGTAGTTGGGATAATTATCAACATTCATGGCTTCTGTTATGGGTGTTGCTGGTGCGCGAGTCGTGCGAGTCGTGTGCGACGTGGGGGGACGGTCGTGTGGCTGTTAGGGCGCTGCGCTACGAACCCGGCGACCCGAGTCAACAGCAGTGACGATTATCTGAACCGGTCTTGGGCCTCCTCTAAGTCGACTCGGCCTCAAATGAGTACCTGGGGTGATGTGTAACATCGCCACTGGGGAGACAAAGACGTGGTGCTGGCCACGCACATCCTCTGGAGTGTCGTGCCGGCCTTCATAGCTGATCGCTAACAGCACTTGCCCCCAGAGTCTATGGAGAGAGGGGAGGGGTGTAACTCACGTGCCGCGATGCCGGGGTGTGTGCATCGGCTGCTCTCAAGAATAGAGCCCAGAGCCGGCCTCTTAGAGGACCACGCGGAGCTCACGAAATGAGGGCAAAACTGAATCGACAATGGGCTCCTTTGGGTTGGCCGTGACTCGCCCGCCCGAGTGCGAGCACGTGACGAGTCGCGCGCCCGTGGACGCGGGGACCGCCCGGCAGCAACAAACGGCGACGTTCAGGCTGGACGCGAGTCCATTGCCCCTGGCGACGGCGCTGTGGACCCGGCCACCCGAGTTCGATTCCCAGCCACGGCGAGTGACATCTAAACCCGGTTATTGGCAGCCCCCACTGCCCCCAGAAGCAGCCGTACCGAACAGCGAGACGAAGTGCAGCCCAACAACTGCCTTGTCCCAAAGGCGTGGGGAGGCCTTCGCCTAGCAGTGGATTGGGACAGGACTGCGCACTGCGGCATTGTCTGCACACACCCCATTGCCAAATGACCCTGAACGAAGCGTGTCTGACCCTGGTTAGTTGTCAGGTGGGAGACGGCCTTGACGTACAACTTGCTGTCGAGAAGACCGTGGGACAAGAAGGCCGTCGTGAGAAGACGCAAGCCAAGCAGGGCGCGTCTACACCGCGCCCTGTGAGCGTTCAAGTTCTACGCAGCCCCGGCGTGCCCCCCACCCACCCCACACACACATCTCTCGCGTGCAGCTCAGCAAGCAGATTGTATTCATTACCCCCAGCTGCGTCCCCCGCCACGTGACCCCGAGGGTCGCCACTGAGAGATTCGTAACCCCCGTGGGGGGGCGGGGGGGGGGTCACGCGCGCAGCGTCGGGGAAGAGGGAACCCCCCCAATGCTGGAAGAGTGGGGGTCACAGTGACACGGAGCCCTGCGGCTCACCTGGGGCTCGCCTGGAGCTCACCTGGGGCTCAGCTGGAGCTCACCTGGGGCAGAAGGTATTGGGCTAGAAGGAGACGCGGCCACGATGTAAACCGTCCCCTCGTGTCGCACGCGTGTGTGGGTTCATTTTAGCCGGGCATGGTGGCGCGCGCCTGCGATAAAGAGCTTGGTAAGGAGGGTTGGTGGGTCACGTAATGATTTGCGTGACGCTCTCACGCCCCTCTGGGATGTGAGATGATCAGGCGACGGGAGCGACAGCACGTGGGTTCGTAAACCCATCCGTGTGGACCTCGTGAGCGTGATGCGTGGGGGTGTTGCTCCGGGTCCTCCGGGTGCCCTCCACGCGGTGTGTGGCGGTGGCGCAGCGGTGAGCGGCACTGCGCCACGCACCCAGCTCAGGCGCGATTCCTGCTCACGGCCAACATCAGTGGCGCGTGCCTCAACTCGGCCTGCCCTGCCCGAGGCCGACGCAGTCTCAAACGAGTACCCGGTGCTTCGTGTAAAAACACCGACACCGGAGGAAGACAAAGGCGGCTGTGCGTGGTGCTGGCCACGCCACACCCTCGTGCGACGTGCTGGCCTTAATATTTACTCGTAATAATGTATTACACTCATAAAGCGCCATACGTTGTACCCAACTAAATACATGAGTAAATAGGGCGCTGTGCTCTTTCCACAGCCGCGCCCGTGTCTGTCCGGGCGATCTTTGCCTTTGTCACTGCGCCGGAGCCTTCGGCCACCTTCACTCACGGAGACGCCTCCTCGCGTCCGCCGCGCGGTGCCGTGACTCTCACTCGCGGTGACAACGCGGACACGAGCGGCCCGACACCGAGTGACCTCCCGCGCCCCCCACGCCGCGCTCTCCTCCCCGCAGTCGCGACAGCTCCAAGTCCGCGTCGAGACCCTCCTGTCAACTTCCAGCACGCTGCCCAGGGGAGCATAGACGCGGTGGTGGTGGTGGGGGGGGGGGTCATCGTGCAGTACAACAATTGATGTTGCTACACTGACCTCTCTGCTCATTACATTGCCGAGCCGCAGCCTATAGCACCTGTGTGTGCTCGAGGACACACACACGCACGTCGATGATGATGCTGCTGCTGATGATGATGATCACATTCTGAGCGTGGTGAGCGAGTCGACCGCTGATGGACGCGCGCGCGGACGCCGCCAGAGGCCCCGGGCCGCGCGTGACGGCCCGTGGCGCCATCTGGCGGCTGCGCGCAGTCGGTAAACGGAGTTCAACTTTTGACCCCAATTAAATAATTTCCTCTGACCGAGCCGTCTGCGAGAGCGTGGAAGAGTAGGCCGAATACCATCTCGACTTGAAGGCGCTCTCCAGCGTTCTCGTTCAGCGGAGACCCCAGCAAAACCACACCGAGTCCTAGGACGCCTTTTCAGGTGGCTCCTGCATTGGGTTTCTATTTTGGCCAATTAATGACGAGTCGTGATGATGATTATTTGACCACGTGGGGAGGAACGCGGAGCAGCCCGAGACAGCCGACGCCTTGCGCGAGGGCGCGACACTCGGCCAGC